AGAGAGAGAGAGAGAGAGAGAGAGAGAGAGAGAGAGAGAGAGAGAGAGAGAGAGAGAGAGAGAGAGAGAGAGAGAGAGAGAGAGAGGAGGGGGTGAGCGAGAAGCGTGGTGGTTGTTTTTTTAAGGACTGGCGCAAGTGATAACAGAAAGCAGGTTTTCCGTTTTTTTGTGATATTTGGACCCTTTCTCGATTTATGTGTGTCATCCTTGTGCAGGGGCCATGTTAATCTTCTCTGTAGCATTCCAATTTTAATGGATGAAGGACAGAAGACAAGTTCTCCTTGCTACTGTATTGCGCTTTTCAATCTGTTTGGAATTTAATGTGCCTTTCTTTTCTTTTTTCTTTTTTCTTTTTCTTTGCTTCCCACAACACACAGGCCCCTTTTATTCTGAGGGCCGTCAGTCCGGTTGCTTATTACCGGCAAGCAAGAGTACAAGAAAAGGCGAGCCAAGAGAAGTAAAGAAGACTCAGCCCAGCCCTTGCCATACGAGTCACTTACTCAAATGGCGGGCTGCTACAAGCCGGCCCCCCCACAAACCATAGCCTTCCTGGGGGATTTCTGCTGGCCAGTAAGCTTACTGGCAGCACCCAATCACACAGCAGAAGGCCTTCAGGCCGCAAAACCCAAACTTGGTCGTAGCTACTCAATGAAAATAGTCCAAAAAGTTGAAAAAACCAACACACATCACTAGTGCTAATCTCGACCTTCCTACAAGTGTTGTCTACGTACCTACCCTCTCTATGATCCTGCCTCCCATTCCTGGTCTTTCCCCTATCAACCTCCAAGCTCTCCCCTTGCATTGACTTCCTTCAGGCAGTTTGCCCTTCCCGAGCTCGCCCTTCCCCTCACATTTATCCTGTCTTGCATTCAATAGCAGTATTCCCCGAGTACGGACGCCGCCCGGCCGGGCGGGGCCGGGTGGGCCGCCCGGGCAAACCGGGCGGGCAGAAAAAACAGCCCAGAATTTTTTATTTTTATTTTTTTGAAAGTGGGGTCCTTCTGTGCTCGGCGAGAGGCCCCCAAATCTGAAATAAAAAATCTGGTTTGGGGGGGGACGGGGTTTCTGGGTGCGGGGGGGGGAGGAGGAGGAGAGAAGAGGAGGAGGAGGAGAGAAGATGAAGGAGGAGGAGAGAAGAGGAGGAGGAGGAGAGAA